TATCTATCTATCTATCTATCTATCTATCTATCTCATCTCTCTCCCCTACCCACTCTCTCACTATCTTTCTTGTTCTGATAAGTGGATTTGTGGCCAATATCGACGAACGCCTGTCTGGGTTTTAAAAAATGTGAGCGACTTTGGGAAGGCAGGTTTTGTCTGGGAAGCCAGGTTTGTGAGAATAAATTAAAATTAGATAAGGCAGCCTCTTCTCTGGATGCATGCTGGATTTGGGGCCTGGGTGGGTTTGGGCCGTGGAGAGGTAGCTATCTGCTGATATGGGGTAGGGGTGTGGGGAGGGCCATTTCCATTTTCCCCTTGGTTTTATTACATGGAAAACTCGAGCTGGGTGGTGGCACCTTATGGCTGAAAAATGTGTTAATTCACAGAGTTGTTTGTCATACTTTCACCTGGAGGGCCCCCCTCCCCCCCGGAGAATCTTCAATTTTTCCTTTGCATTGGTCCTCGACGTACGACCAAAATTGAGCCCAAAATTTCTGTTGCTAAGCAAGATAGTTGTTGAGTGAGTTTTGCCCCATGGTACGATCTTTCTGGCCACCGTCGTTAAGCAAACTGCTGCCGTTGTTCAGTTAGGAATATGGTGGTTAAGCGAAATTGGATTTCCCCGTTGATGGAAGGTCACAAAAGGGGAATCAAATGAACCCCTGGGATTGGAGGGTGGGGTCCCCATCATAAATATGGGTCAGTTGCCCAAGCATCCAGATTTTGAGTCACGTGACCCCGGGGAATGCTGCAACCGTCGTAAGTGTGAAAAACAGTCATGAATCCAGTGCTGTTGTCGCTAAGCAAACAGTTGTAAGCCGAAGACTCCCTGTACTTATGACGATGTGCCAGCGTCATGTGATCGCCAGTTGTGACCTAGCCAGATTCCGACAAGCAGATTCACTTAACAACCAGGGTGATTTGCTTAATCGTCTTCTTTTAATGACCCCCATAATCCCTTTTTGGGGTGGAATCTGGCCAACTGAATTGAGCAGACTTTTTTCCTGGCCAGATGCCCTTCCTGTTGCCAATGTGGAGTTTTGTTCAGCAGCTATATTCCCATGGTGCCCAGAGAGAGAAATACCTGCCTCTACCTAGGATCAAACTCTCAACCTCCTGGTTGTGAGGCCAGATCCCCAACCTCTAGGCCACCGCACCACTCAGGCGATTTGCTTAATGACCGTAGCAAAAACCATAACATTGGGTGTGACTCTCTTAATTCATGCTTAGCAACGGAACTTCCAATTATGGTCGTAAGTTGAGGAACTCCCTATACACTCTGCAAACTCAGGACAATTTCTTTCAAGAGGGCGGAGGAGGAAGAAGGGGAAGGAAGTGGTTTCTTTCCCTTTTGCAAGCCAGGAGGAGAAGCTGTGGCTCCCAGGGTAGGGAGTCCATTCCCACCGCTCAGGATGGTGGTCTTTAGATGGTGGAGAACCCCCGCAGACTAGGTATCGGCAGCCTGTGGCTCTGGAGCTGCATGTGGCACTTTCATCTCTCTGCTGCAGCTCCCTGTCGCCGATCAGCTTTACAGTTGATAGGGCTTTCAGTTAGGACAGGTTCAGTTAGGACAGAAAAAGGAAGCCGCGCTAGGAGAAGACTCTATGGTGGAGGAACCGGACTTCCGGTCGGCTCCAGAATTGAACGGGGGGGCTTCCAGTTAGGATATTGGTGGCTCTGAGTGTTTAATGTTGCTGACCCCCACCCCAGACGAAGCAGAAGCTTCCCTCTTCCATTTAACAGCCGGTTCCTTTTTTCGTTCTGCAGGGCAGAAGAACGTCCGAGTCACCAGCCTCCTCATATGCCAGGGCCTGCTCTGGATTGGCACCGACCAAGGCATTCTGGTCCTGTTGCCCGTGCCCAGGCTGGAGGGGATCCCCAAAATCACAGGTAAGGCAGAAGAGGCCACCTTGATCACAGGGAGGGAGTCCTAAGGACGCTGAAGCCTCTTGCCGTAATCCAGTTTTTTAAATCTTTCCTGGCTTGGCATGCAAAACTCACCCGAGTTTACTTGCTCTCTTTTGCGGCGAGAGATTCTCACAGATTTGATCTCGCGGAAGAATCAATTTGGAGCGTCCTGGATTCTGATGGTGGAATGTCTCTTTTGCTTTGCAATTGTTTCTCTCCCCGTCTTCCTTTCTTCCTTTCGCTTCCTCTTTAGTTCTCTCCCTCTCTCTTTCTCTATATCTACATCTCTGTCCCTCTATCTCTTTCCTTTTCCCTCTCTCTATATATCTTTCTCCATCCCTTTCCTTCTCTGTCTCCTTCCTTCTCTTTATATATATATATCTTTCTCTCTCTTTCTCTATATCTACATCTCTGTCCCTCTATCTCTTTCCTTTTCCCTCTCTCTATATATCTTTCTCCATCCCTTTCCTTCTCTGTCTCCTTCCTTCTCTCTATATATATATATATCTTTCTCTCTCTTTCTCTATTCCTTTCCTTCTCTTTCTCTCTCTTTCTCCTTCTCTATATCTTTATCTCTTTCTATCTCTCTATCTTTATTCCTCTCCTTCTCTGTCTCCTTCCTTCTCTCTCTCTCTCTCTCTCTCTCTCTCTCTCTCTGTATATCTATATATCTATATATATCTATATCTATATATCTATATCTCTATCTATCTATCTATCTATCTATCTATCTATAATCTTTTTCTTTCTCTATATCTTTATCTGTCTCTCTCTTTCTCTTCCTTTTCTTCTTTCTATATCTCTTTCTCCTTCTCTATATCTTTATCTCTTTCTGTTCATTTTTCTCTATTCCTTTCCTTCTCTTTCTCAGTTATAACAATTAATTAGTGGAACAGCTTGTCTCCAGAAGTTGTGAATGCTCCAACAATGGACGTTTTAAGAAGATGTTGGATAGCCATTTGTCTGAAATGTTATAGGGTTTCCTGCCTATAAGCAGGGGGTTGGACTAGAAGACCTCCAAGGTCCCTTCCAACTCTTCTATTCCATTCTATTCTTCTTTTTTTCTCTCTATCTCTTTCTCCTTTATCTCTCTCTCTCTCTCTCTTCCTTTCCTTCTCTTTCTACTTCTCTATAACTTTATCTCTTTCTATCTCTCTCTTTATCTCTTTCTATATTCCTTTCATTCTCTTTCTCTTCCTCTCTCTTTGTCTTCCTCTTCTCCTGTTCTTCTGCATAACTCCTTGGCGCTTCTGCTCAGAGATACAACCGAATTTCTCTGCGTTTTTGAGAAATGACTTTCCTTCCCAAATCTCTCCGGCTTCGGCTTGCACGGCTGTGGATCCAGCTCTGCTTCGGAGTGTGGCTCATCTTTAGCAACCTTTCCATTTAATCAAAAGCCTTCTCTTCATTGCCCAGGGAAGGGGATGGTCTCGCTCAATGGCCACTGCGGCCCTGTGGACTTCCTGGCGGTGGCCTTCAGCACTCTGGCTCCCGAGGTCTTGAAGAGCGACAAAGAAGATGGAGACGGAGGGCCATTGGCGGAGGACGCACACCCCAGCCCGGGAGCTCGCACCTCCGATGTGTCCTCCGCGGACAGTTCCTCCACCCGGGAAATCCGTAAAAAGGGCATCCTTCTGCAGTACCGGCTCCGATCCACGACTCACCTACCCGGACAGTTGCTCTCCGTGAGGGACACGCCTTCGCCAGCCGGCGGGAATTCTTTGGAACACACCGAGGAAGACGGCTCCATCTACGAAATGGCGGACGATCCGGACATCTGGGTGCGAAGCCGGACGTGCGCGAAGGAGTCTCACCGGAAGGAGATCTCTTCCCTGGCTGTGATTTCGGGAGGAAGGGGTTACCGCAACTTCGGCGCCAACGGCCGGCCCCCGTCGAGCAGCGAAAGTGACAGCACGTTACTCCTCTGGCAAATCCCGTTGATTTTATAGCGCGGTGTCGTTTTCGCTTTTCCCGTCTTCTGTTTTCGGCATGGAATGGTGGACGACGGGGACCGCCGGGAAGGGGGGGGAACATTATGGCTGTCGGGGTACCCCCTCTCGTTTGACGGTCCTGCCGAGCCCACCAGCTTTTTACCGATTTCGTAGTCTCCAAATTTCGTCCTCACCCAGAGCTGTTTGACAGCTGTCGACTCTGAAGCTGACACCCCTTCTTTTTCGCACCTCCGATCTTGACTCCAGCAAAGACTTCCAATTTTCTTTCCGTGAACTTTTCCAGGTTTTATAGGAAAACTGCACACTCCCTGCAGGTTTTGGAGGGGGCAGATGAATCCCCCCACCCATCCTCCCCGGGTGTTTTCCCTTCCCAGGCAGGGACATACAGGTTTGGTTTACCCCCTGTGTGAATATCCTACCTACAAATATATATAGAGACAGACACACACACACTTAATATAAAAGTGCTGTATATTATTAAACTGTACAAATGAAATCTGTATATATTGGGGGCAGAAATAAAATGGTAGGAAAACCTTCCTAGTCCAGCTCAACAACAAGCTCTTGTTGGTCTTGGTTATTCCCACTGGGCTTTGGCTGGAAGTTGGCTGTCTTATTTGTTGTTGTTGTTAGTTGTGAAGTTGTGTCCGACCCATCACGACCCCGTGGACCACGTTCCTCCAGGCCTTCCTGTCCTCTACCATCCTCTGGAGTCCATTTAAACTCACGCTGGCTGCTTCGGTGACTCCATCCAGCCACCTCCTTCTCTGCCGCCCCCTTCTTCTTTTGCCCTCCATCGTTCTCAGCATGAGGCTCTTCTCCTGTGAGTCCTTCCTTCTCATTAGGTGGCCAAAGTCTTTGAGTTTCCTCTTCAGGATCTGGCCTTCTAAAGAGCAGTCAGAGTTGATCTCCTCTAGGACTGACTGTTGGATTACCTTGCAGTCCAAGGAACTCACAGGAGTCTTCTCCAGCACCAGAGTTCAAGGGCCTGAATTCTTTGGTGCTCAGCCA